ATTAGCCAGGCAGGGTGGTGCATGCCTGTAGTCCTAGCTTCTAGGGAGGCTGAGGCAGGAGAATTGCTTGAACCCAGGAGGCAGAGGTTGCAGTGAGTCAAAATTGTGCTACTGCACTCCAGCCTGGGCAACAGAGAGAGTCTGTCTCAAAAAAAAAAAAAAAGTAGAAAAACAGCAAGTAACCTAATGATGCACCTTAAAGAACTAGAAAAGCAAAGGCAAACCAAACCTAAAATTAGTAAAATAAAAGAAATAATAAAGATCAGAAGGCCAGGATTGGTGGCTCATGCCTGTAATCTCAGCACTTTGGGAGGCTGAGGCAGGCAGATCACTTGAGGTCAGGAGTTCAAGATCAGCCTGGCCAAGATGGTAAAACCCCATCTGTACTAAAAATACAAAAATTAGCTGGGAGTGGTGGTGGGCACCTGTAATCCCAGCTATACAGGAGGCTGAGGCAGGAGAATTGCTTGAACTCAAGAGGCGGATGTTGCAATGAGCTGGGATCATGCTACTGTAATCCAGCCTAGGCACAGAGCAAGACTCGGTCTCAAAAAAAAAAAAAAAGATCAGAGTAGAAATAAATGGAATTAAAACAAGGAAAACAGTACAAAAGATTAACAAAACAAAAAGTTTTTTGAAAAGAAAATCAACAAACCTTTAGGCAGACTAAGATATAAATAAATAAAATCAGAGATGAAAACGGAGACATTACAACCAATACCACAGAAATTCAAAAGATCATTGGAGGCTACTATGAGCAACTACATGCCAATAAATTGGAAGAAACAGACAAACTTCTAGACACACGCAACCTACGAAGATTAACTATGAAGAGATTCAAAACCTGAACAGACCAATAACAAGTAATAAAACAGAAGCTGAAATAACATCTCCCCACAAAGAAAAGCCCAAGACCCCACGGCTTTGCTGCTGAATTTTATTTAGCAAACATTTATCTATTTATTCATTCATTCATTCATTCATTCAGACAGAGTTTTGCTCTTGTTGCCAAGGCTGGAGTGCAGTGGTGCAATCTTGGCTCACTGCAACCTCCACCTTCCAGTTTCAAGCGATTCTCCTGCCTCAGCCTCTCAAGTAGCTGGGATTACAGGTGCCCACCACCACACCCAGCTAATTTTTGTATTTTTAGTAGAGACAGAATTTCACTGTGTTGGCCAGGCTGGTCTCGAACTCCTGACCTTGTAATCCGCCTGCCTCAGCCTCCCAAAGTGCTGGGATTATGGGCATGTGCCACTGTGCCTGGCCTAACAAACAATTAAAGAACACCAATCCTGCTCAAACTATTCTGAAAAATATAGAAAAATGAAAAACCTCCAAACTCACTCTACAAGGCCAGTATTATCCTGATACCAAAACCAAACAAAGACACATTAAAAAAAAAAAAAAAGAAAACCATAGGCTAATATCCTTGATGAACATTAAGGCAAAAATCCTCAACAAAATTACTAGCAACCTGAATCCAACAATACATTAAAAGATCATTCACCATGACCAAGTGGGATTTATTTATCCCAGGGATGCAAAGACGGTTCAACATATGCAAATCAATCAATGTAATACAGCATAGCAACAGAATGAAGGACAAAAACCACATATTTTGAGGCCGGGTGTGGTGGCTCATGCCTGTAATCCCAGCACTTTGGGAGGCCTAGGCGGTGGATCACCTGAGGTCAGGAGTTCAAGACCAGCCTGACCAATATGGTGAAACCTCAACTCCATTTTTCAAAACAAAAACAAAAACATAAAAAACCCACATATTTTCAACTGATGCTAAAGAAAGCATTTGATAAAATTCAAAATTATTTCATAATAAAAACCCTCATAAAGCTGGGTATAGTAAGGAACATCCTCAACACTATAAAAGCCATATGCAACAGACCCACAGCTAATACTATACTGAATGAGGAAAAACTGAACTAAAATCTAGAACACCACAAAGATGCTCATTTTAACCACTGTTATTCAACATAGTACTGGAAGTCCTAGCAAGAGCAATCAGGAATGAGGAAAAAATAAAGGATGTCCACATTGGAAAGGAAGAAGTCAAATTATCCTTGTTTGCAGATGATATGATCTTATATTTGGAAAAACCTAAAGACTCCACCAAAAAACTATTGGAACTGATAAAGAAATTCAGTGAAGTTACAGGATACAAAAATCAACATACATAGAAGACCCAGAATAGCCAAAGCTATCCTGAGCAAAAAGAACAAAACTGGAGAAATCACATTACTTGACTTCAAATTATACTACAGAGTTGCAGTAATGAAAACAGCATGGTGCTGGCATAAAAATATACACATAGACTAATGCAACAGAACCCAGAACCCAGAAACAAATTCATATGCCTATAGTAAACTCAATTTCAATAAAGGTGCCAAGAACATACATTAGAAAAGGGCAGTCTCTTTAATAAATGGTGCTGGGAAAACTGGATATCCATATGCAGAAGAAAACTAGACCCCTATCTCTTGCCATATATGAAAACCAAAAAAAATGAATTAAAGACTTAGATCTGAGGCTGGGCATGGTAGCTCGCACCCGTTAACTCAGCACTTTGGGAGGCCAAGGCAGGCAGATCATCTGAGGTCAGGAGTTCAAGACCAGCCTGGTCAACATGGTGAAAGCTTGTTTCTACTAAAAACACAAAAAATTAGCCGGGGTGGTGACAGGCGCCTGTAATCCCAGCTGCTTGGGAGGCTGAGGTGGGAGAATCACTTGAACCTGGGAGTTGGAGGTTGAAGTGAACAAAGAGGGCATTTTCTATGCAGAATCCCGGCAAAAATATTCGTAAGATTAGGATGATGGATAACAGGCATTCTAATATATTGCTAATAAGAGTAGAAATTGATGCACTTTCTGAAGGGCAATTTGTGTTAAAAAAATTACTCTAATACTTCTTAAAACAGTAAGGAGACTTTATTCAAGGCTATTCCAAAAGAGGTATCACAATAGGTGAGAGACTGGGTTCAAATCAGAATACAAGGACAAGTGGGGATTCACAGCCAAGAGCAAGGTAAGGCCGGGCATGGTGGCTCACGCCTGTAATCCCAACTCTTTGGGAGGCAAAGGGAGGCGGATCATGAGGTCAAGAGATCAAGACCATTCTGGCCAACAGGGTGAAACCTGTCTCTACTAAAAACAAACACAAAAGAAATTAGCTGGGTGTCGTGGTGGAGGCTGTAGTGAGCTGGGATTGTGCCACTGCACTCCAGCCTGGTGACAGACTGAGACTCCATCTCAAGGAAAAAAAAAAAAAGTGCTGGTGAAGGAGTCAGTGGATAGACAATTTCTAACAGTGGACATCATGGGTAAGGAAATTCTTACTAACCTGACCTAACAGGATTCTTATTAAAGGCAGGCCGGCCGGGTGACCAGCCTAGCCAACATGCAAAAACCCTGTCTCTACTAAAAATACAAAAAGAAAAAATTAGCCAGGCACAGTGGCGCATGCCTGTAGTCCCAGCTATTTGAGAGGCCGAGTCAGGAGAATCACCTGAACACGAGAACCAGAGGTTGCAGTGAGCCAAGATCCCGCCACTGCACTCCAGCCTGGGAAACAGAGCAAGACTCCGTCAAATCAAAATACTAAAAATTAAAAAAAAAAAAAAAAAGGCAGGGCGTGATGGCTCACACCTGTAATCTAAGCACTTTGGAGGCCAAGTGATCACCTGAGGTCGGGAGTTCAAGACCAGCCTGACCAACATGGTGAAACCCCATTTTTAAAAAATAAAAATAAAAATCAATAAATAAAGGCCAAGGATTTGAACATCAAAGGTAGGAAATGAGGAATGTGATCAGATAGCAAAGGTGATCAGACTATCAAATGTGAGAAATTCTCTCTGAATTGACAGCAGGATTCTTTGCTAAGACTGGGCTGGGCAGGCCAAAGATTGGATGGGGCCAAGTTCCCTCAAGAATCTCTGTCACTGATAATGTTTATCAAAATTAAAGGGCCAGGCACAGTGACTCATACCTGTAATCCCAGTACTTTGGAAGCCTGAGGCGAGAAATTGCTTGACCCCAGGAAGTGACTCCATTTCTACCAAAAAAAAAGGCCATGTATGACAGCATGGTAGCTCAATGTAGCATTCAACTGCTGGGCTCAAGCAATCCTCCCAACTCAGCCCTGCTCCACCCTGGCTTTTAGTAGCTGAGACTACAGCCACAGCTACACCACACATGGCTTTTTTTTTTTTTTTGTAGAGACAATGTCTTTTTTTAAATTTTGAGATGGAGTTTTGCTCTTGTCACCCAGGCTGGAGTTCAATGGCATGATCTCGGCTCACCGAAACCTCCATCTCCTGGGTTCAAGCAATTCTCCTGTCTCAGCCTCCCAAGTAACTGGGACTACAGGCATACACCACCATACACAGCTAATTTTTGTATTTTTAGTAGAGACGGGTTTCACCATGTTGACCAGGATGGTCTCAATCTCTTGACCTCGTGATCCACCCGCCTCGGCCTCTCAAAGTACTAGGATTATAGGCGTGAGCCACTGTGCCCAGCCTGAGACAATGGTCTTACTATGTTGCCCAGTGGTCTGGAACTACTGGGCTCAAGTAATCCTCCCACCTTGGCCTCCCAAAGTGCTGGAATTACAACTATGAGCCACTGTACCTGGCCAATAGTGATCAACTTTGGCAGGAGGCACTAGGAAACAGTAGCAGAAGGAAGTTTTTATTTTTCATTTCATACCTTTCTAGGTATGATATACTATACTTTCTAGGTATAATATAGCTATCCCACTATTACTGGAAATGAAATTTCTTTCTATATTATTTCAGTTTCTTACTCTGGGCATACACTACATACATACGCACAAAACAAACATAAATTGTAGGTCAAGGAAGGAAGACATTTTCTCAATTGGCTTTGAGTTTGATTTTATGCTAGTGCACTGGTTGGTTATTTTTTCATGCTTATCAGATACCTCAAAAAATACTTGGCTAGTTACATTTGAGTAGTCTGACTCATACCTGTGAGTGTTCTGAAAGGAAATCTGGAAGAAGATAAACTTGTGCCAGTAACTCTGTGTAGTCACGACAGCGAAAATAATAAATATGGGAAAGAATATTTTCAAGAGTGAAATCCTCCAAAGCTTTTTGATGTTCTGAAACAATAAAACGATCTTAATTAGTTTTACCTATTTGGATGTGCTGGCAATTAAGTAGGAAAACAATACTTTTTTTTTTTTTTTTTTTTTTAGACGGAGGTTCGCTCTTGTTACCCAGGCTGGAGTGCAATGGCGCGATCATGGCTCACAGCAACCTCCGCCTCGGCAATTCTCCTGCCTCAGCCTCCCGAGTAGCCGGGACTACAGGCACGCGCCACCATGCCCAGCTAATTTTTTGTATTTTTAGTAGAGACGGGGTTTCACCATGTTGACCAGGACGGTCTCGATCTCTTGACCTTGTGATCCACCCGCCTCAGCCTCCCAAAGTGCTGGGATTACAGGCGTGAGCCATCGTGCCTGGCCGAAAACAATACTTTTTAATAACAAAATGTTTTCCTTTAGATAACAAAATTATTTAACTGAAAGATGACAAACTGTAGCAAAAATTACTATAAACTATCAGTTCATAATTCCTGATCTCTCTTAATTTTTTAGAGGTGAGGTCTCACTCTGATGCCCAGGCTGCAGCACCATGGAAATCATAGCTCACTGCAATCTCCAACTCCTAGGCTCAAGGGATCCTCTTGCCACAGTCTTCCAAAGCACTGGGATTACAGGCATAAAACACTGTGCCCAGCCATTTGATTTTTTTTTTTTTTTTTTTTTTTTTGAGATAAAGTCTCACTCTGTCACCCAGGCTGGAGTGCAGCGGCACGATCTCCACATACTGTAACCTCTAGAGCCTCTGGGCTCAAGCGATTCTCCTGCCTCAGCCTCTCGAGTAGTTGGGATTACAGGTGCTCACCATCATGCCCAGCTAATTTTCCTATTTTCAGTAGAAATGGGGTTTCAACATGTTGGCCAGGCTGGTCTCGAACTCCTGACCTCAAGTGATCCGCCTGCCTCAGCCTCCCAAAGTGCTGAAATTATAGGCATGAGCCACCACACACAGCCTGATCTTTTATTTTCATATTTTCCACTATTTCCTTATATATCAGGGTATGTAAAATTATTTATAAACAAATACAACTAGTGTTTTAATGCCTGCCTTTTCATATTTTTCTTTCCTTTTTTTTTTTGAGGTGGAGTTTAGCTCTTGTTGCCCAGGCTGGAGTGCAATGACACGACCCTGGCTCACTGCAACCTCTGCCTCCCAGGTTCAAGCAATTCTCCTGCTTCAGCCTCCGGAGTAGCTGGGATTACAGGCACCCACCACCATGCCCGGATAATTTTTTGTATTTTTAGTAGAGACAGGTTTCACCATGTTGGCCAGGCTGGTCTCAAACTCCTAACCTCAGGTGATCTGCTCACCTCCGCCTCCCAAAGTGCTGGGATTACAGGCATGAGCCACTGCGCCAGGACGCCTTTTCACATTTCTAGTCACTGGCTTCATTGAACAGAAGTAACATAATTAAGTTTCTATTTCTTGTTTTTTTCCTTTGGACTACAAATTAAGTTAATGGCAGCCTGGGCAACATGGCAAAATCCCATTATCTGCAAAAAATACAAAAATTAGGTATGGTAGAGTCTTAGCTACCTAGGAGGTTAAGGTAAGAGGATTGCTTGAGCCTGGGAGGTCAAGGCTACAGTAAGCTGTGATTGTGCCACTGGACTCCAACCTGGGTAACAGAATAAAACTCAGTCTCTTAAAAAAAAAAGTTAGGAAAAATGTTCAAATGAAGCATTGTTTCTGTTGAATGCTATAGTATAATTTGATATTTAACTAGCAACAATTATTTAAAATCATCCTTAGATTGAATGTTTGAAAAAAATTAAACAGTTTGAGGCTGGGCGTGGGGGGCTCATGCCTGTAATTCCACTACTTTAGGAGGCCAAGTTAGGTGGATCACTAGGTCAGGAGTTCAAGACCAGCCTGGCCAACATGGTGAACCTCTATCTCTACTAAAAATACAAAAATTAGCCTGGCATGGTGGCGCGTGCCTGTAATCCCAGCTACTCGGGAGGCTGAGGCAGGAGAATTGCTTGAGCCCTGGAGATAGAGGTTGCAGTGAGATGAGATTGAGCCACTGCACTCTAGCCTTGGTGACAGAGCAAGACTCTGTCTCAGAAAAAAAAAAAGTTTGGTTTTGTACATATTTCAAGATTGCACCACTGCATTCCAGCCTGGGTGACAAGAGTGAGACTCCATCTCAAAAAAAATTTGAGGAAGGGCAGAGTTCCTTTATCTGTTTCTTCTCAATTGCCTTCAGCTCAAAATAATCCTTATGCCAAACTGGCATATTTTGGGGTGCCATATCCTGCCAGTGCCCAAAAGTCTTTCAGTAAGCATGCCAGTCATCAGCTAAATGGAATACTTAGAACCTCCACGAAAAAGAAAATGCAGCTGACTATACTCATTTAAAGGAAATAGACAAACAAAATCTTATGAAAAGCATTACTTTTTAAAAAAACTTCTAGAGGAAAGAATAAAGACCTCATATCCAAAAAATAAATAAAACAAAGCAAAAGAAAACAGTCAATCAGGTTGGGTACGGTGGCTCACACCTGTAATATCAGCACTTTGGGAGGCCAAGATGAGTGGATCATAAGGTCAGGAGTTTGAGACCAGCCTGGTCATGGTGGTACCCACCTGTAGTCCCAGCTACTCAGGAGGCTGAGGCAGGAGAATTGCTTCAACCAGGCAGGCGGAGGTTGCAGTGAGCAGAGATTGTGCCACTGCACTCTAGCCTGGGCGACAGAGCAAGACTCCGTCAAAAAAAAAAAAAAAGAAAAAAGAAAACAGGGCTGGGCGCAGTGGCTCAAACCTGTAATCCCAGCACTTTGGGAGGCCAAGGCGGGTGGATCACGAGGTCAAGAGATTGAGACCATCCTGGTCAACATGGTGAAACCCCGTCTCTACTAAAAATACAAAAAATTAGCTGGACATAGTGGCGCATGCTTGTAATCCCAGCTACTCAGGAGGCTGAGGCAGGAGAATTGCCTGAACCCAGGAGGCGGAGGTTGCGGTGAGCCGAGATCGTGCCATTGCACTCCAGCCTGGGTAGCAGAAGCAAAACTCCGTCTCAAAAAAAAAGAAAACAGTCAATCCATAAGCCATTTAATTTATAAGTAATTGAAAGAATAAGGACTTGAATATAAATTACCTTTCAAAAAACTATTTTAGGCCAGGCTCATGCCTGTAATCCCAGCACTCTGGGAGGCCAAGCAAGATTCTGTTTCAAAAAAACAAAAAAATTGTTTTATAGTCACTTTATTTTCACCTAACAAGCACCAAAGATACCTCCCAAACACTTTAAAACTCAGTGCAGTTGGCCGGGGCGCAGTGGCTCAAGCCTGTAATCTCAGCACTTTGGGAGGCCGAGGCGGGTGGATTACTGGCAGTCAGGAGTTCAAGACCAGTGTGGCCAACATGGTGAAACCCCATCTCGGTATCAAAAAAAAAGTAAAAAAAAATTAGTGCAGTTATGAAATCAGCTATATACTAACCAAAGCCCCATGTCTATCTGCTTAATAATCCAAACATTTCAGACATAATTTTCTTTCTTTTTTACCAAAAAAATTTTAACCCTTTGAGTTGGTTTCAAACATTATTTTCTTTCTTTTTTTTTAAGAGACAGTCTTACTCTGTCGCCTAGGATGGAGTGCACCAGCTCAATCTAGGCTTACAGCAACCTCTGCCTCCTGAGTTCAAGTGATTCTCCTGCCTCAGCCTCCTGAGTAACTGAGATTACAGGCGTGTACCACCATACCTGGCTAATTTTTGTATTTTTAGTATTTTTAATTATGTATTTGTAGGGTTTCACCACGTCAGTCAGTCTGGTCTCAAACTCCTGACCTCAGGTGATCCACCTACCTCGGCCTCCCAAAGTGCTGGGATTACAGGCATGAGCCATTGCACTTGGCCTCAGACATGGTTTTCAAAGCTACCTTTGAAATGTATAATATGGAAATTATTATACATTGAATATATTTAACAACAGTTGCTTATATTAAGGTGTCCAAAAACCTTAACTTATACCTAGTAAGATGGAGTATGATGACTGAAATACATACATAGGTTTTGTCCCAAAGCTTCTATGGTAAGAAGTGAGGGCCATAAAGTGGGAGGGAAAAAAAGCCAGTCCAGGCTGTGGCATTTCCCATTTTGTAAAAGTAGTAGCAGAGTTTAACACTAGTTCACTGTCAAGTCATTAGGCTTCATATTCCAAATGATCTGTTGCGGAGGTCTGAGATGGGCACAAATGCAAATTACTAATACAGAAAATGCAAATTATTAATAGAGAAAAAAGGAGGATCATTTGCTAACTTACCCTCTCCCTTGTGTTTTTCTGCTATAAGGTGAAGGTGCTGAATGCAGGCAGTAGCAAGGTCTACCACTCTATCAACCATAAAACTTCCCTCTGTATCAATAAAAACTGCTTCACCTGCCACTCCTCCAAAACATTCCGGTATCTGCACATCTACTGCCAACTGCACACTGTCGAGAGAAAGATGGCTAATTAACTAAATCATCATGATCATCTAAGGCAGTGTATTTGAAACTCCAGATAATGACAAGTTAGATATCACTAAAGTTTTATAAATGCAAGTATACTCCCAAGGCAACAGAAATGTCTAACTCTTCATGGCTCCAGATGTAATGTGAACCAACTGACTATATGTGAATCAAATGGACTGGGGGGAGGGCATGCCTATAAAATCAATATTAAGGATATTTTAATCATTTCCAGGCCTCTAGAAATGGAGCCCCTTATTATACATAAATCTACTTTCTATTTTTGCTTTTTTTTGAGACAGAGTCTTACTCTGTCACCCAAGCTGGAGTGCAGTGGCACAATCTCAACTCAATGCAACCTCCATGCCACATTTCCTTGCCGCCACTATGGTCTGTTAAGTGAAGCCTCAGAATCATTAATAGGAATGATCTCAAGTGGGAGTAGTGACTAACAAATACACACTGGCCAGTTACCTTTTTTCTTGGTGTCAAAAACTCAGGCAACAATCATTTGGATTAGTCTGCATGCTTACTGCAGAGTTGCAGCCTCTTGGCTCTTCTCATTGGCCATCCCCCTTTTGTAATCTTCCTCACTTTTCAGGCCCCGGCAAGGGATTGTAGGCCAGCTCCCAGTGGCCCCTGGGAGACATCAGTCCCCATTTCCCGCACCCACCCATGCCTTCCCGGGAGTTGAGTCTCAAGCATGGAGGTTTCTGAGACTGTTATTTCTTCATGGCCTGCCTAGCTTAAGAAGTAGCTGGAAAAGTAAGCAACTAATGTTCCCATTAGTGGGTCTAGGCTCCTAGGGTCCTGAAAGGGAGGAGCTGGGCTACACAAGAGCTCCTTTTGTGGGTCCCAGCTTCAAGCCATTATCCTGCCTCAGCCTCCTGAGTAGCTGGGACTACATGCCACCATGCCTGGTTAATTTTTTTGTATTTTTAGTAGAGACAGGATTTTGCCACGTTGGCCAGGCTGGTCTCAAACCTTTGACCTCAGGTGATCTGCCCGCCTCTGGCTCCCAAAGTGCTGGGATTACAGGCGTGAGCAACAGTGCCTGGCCTCTTTTTTGATATAGGGGTCTCACTCTGCTGCCCAGACAGGAATGCAGTGGCGCAATCAAGGCTCACTGCAGTTTCGACCTCCCCAACTCAAACAATCCTCCTGCCTCAGCCTCCCAAATAGCTAGGACCACAAGCATGTGCCACCACACCCAGCTAATTTTTCATTTTTAGTAGAGGTGAGGTCTCACTGTTTCCCAGGCGGGCCTCAAACTCCTGGGCTCAAGCGATCCTCCTGCCTCCACCTCCCAAAGTGCTGGGATTATAGGCATGAGACACTGTACCTAGCCATAAATCTACTTTCAAACATCTGACTTTCAAATATAGTCTCAGGAATGAATGAAGCAGAAACTTCCTGTTTAACCTTATGACTACAGTACAATTTGCAAAAGAAACATTTTTTCATATCAAAATAATTGCATCAATTTATTAAGAAGGGATACTGAAGTAACACAAATAGTAAGTTAATTTTTGTTTGATGCACAGACACACTTAAAATTAAGAGCACATATATACCTTACTTGGTTTCCTGACTATAAACCGACAGTACAAAATATTACTTTCATAATGTTATTAAACCCGCCCTTAAAAGAACATTTTATTTTACCATAATTGTGTTTTTCCAATGCCTGGTGCACCACAAATTTCTGTTGTTTTCATTAAGGGTACTCCACCCCCAAGAATATTATCTAGTGCTGAACAGAATGTAATTATGGATCCCTGGATATGCTCCTGCTCAAGAAGTTCCAGTGCTGTACACTTCTTGCCTGACTCAGATGTACCAGCATATCTTGGTTTATTTGTGAGACATTCTCTTCTTATAATTTGCAGAGTTTCTAAGGCTTCCTCTTTAGATATCCCAACTTCTGAAAATAAAATAAGAAAAAAAGAACCCTAATTTTAGAGATTTAAAACAGTGTAACATGATAATGGATTGTCTTCATTAATTTTAATTTTTAGACAGGAGTGATGCTAAAAGTAGAGAAAGATAAAAATGTAACATTCTATCGACCATTTAATTTTTCAGTTTGGCTGGACACTATGGCTCACACCTGTAATCCCAGCATTTTGGGAGGCCAAGGTGGGCAGATCACGAGGTCTGGAGTTCAAGACCACCCTGGCCAACGTGGTGAAACCCCATCTCTACTAAAAATACAAAAATTAGCCAGGCGTGGTGGCACACGCCTGTAATCCCAGCTATTCCCTGGGAGACTGAGGCAGCGAGAATTGCTTGAACCCGGGAGGTGGAGGTTGCAGTGAGCTGAGATCGCACCATTGCACTCCAGCCTGGGTGACAGAGCAAGACTCCATCTCAAAAAAAAAAAATTCAGATTAATAAAGGAATTTGTTTTCTTAGTCATCACTTAAAGATTTTCCTATTATCTCAGAAATGATTCAACTAAAGCATTTCTGAGTACCTACAAGAATGTCTCAGGAAGTAGAAATAAAAATGTACTCACTATTTTTTTTTCTTTTTTTGAGATGGAGTTTTGCTCTTATTGTCTAGGCGTGATCTCGGCCCACCGCAACCTGACCTCCCAAGTTCAAGCGATTCTCCTGCCTCAGCCTCCTGAGTAGCTGGGATTATAGGCATGCACCACCACGCCTGGCTAATTTTTTGTATTTTTAGTAGAGAGGGGGTTTCTCCATTTTGGCCAGACTGGTCTCTAACTCCTGACCTTGGGTAATCCATCCACCTCAGCCTCCCAAGGTGCTGGAATTACAGGCGTGAGCCACTGCGCTTGGGCTTTCTTTCTTTTTTGAGACGGAGTCTTACTCTGTCTCCCAGGCTAGAGTGCAGTGGCTCCATCTCAGCTTACTGCAACCTCCACCTCCCGGATTCAAGCAATTCTCCTGCCTCAGTCTCCTTGAGTAACTGGGATTACAGGCACACACCATGACGCCCAACTAATTTTTGTATTTCAACATGGGGTTTCACCATGTTTGTCAGGCTAGTCTCCAATGCCTGAACTCGTGATTTGCCCACCTCAGCCTCCCAAACTGCTGGTATTACAGGCATGAGCCACTACACCCAGCCAAAATGTACTCACTATTAGCACATTTTTACTATCTTTTTTGGTCTTATGAAGCCACAATTATCTCGTACTCATAAAGTATACAAATTTTTCAGATGAGAATGAAAAATTCTCATTTAACTGCCTGAAATAAGGTACAACTTTAAGAAGCACATATGCATGTATTATTTACAATAAAAAGTTTTCATGGAAATAACATGTAAAAAAATTCATATATCACTGTAAACCAATGAGAACAATTACCTAATGCACAAGTATTTTAAAGAATTCACTTATGCTCCCTGGACTATGCAATTTCACCCGTCTGACAGTATGGCCTGAGAAGAGAAAATGGCAGTTACAAAACAAGCTGGCTGAAGAAATAATGGTGAAGATGACATCACTTATCAGTTTAATATATTGGTGCTTGATTTGATAAGAATATGAGCCATAAATATGGCGCTAATAAAAGACAATGGTGATGACATTTAGGAAATGAAAACCTTATCCAGTTCAAGAGCCTGAATGCTGGAATCAGATTGCCTGGGTTTGTAAATTCTGGCACCACTTATGGTGTGACTTTGGACAAGTTACTTCACTTCTTTTTGCTCAGATTTTTTCTTCTATAAAACAGGAATGAGACAATACATGTAAAAAGCTTGGTAGAGGCCGGGCGCGGTGGCTCAAGCCTGTAATCCCAGCACGTTGGGAGGCCAAGGTGGGTGGATCACGAGGTCAAGAGATCGAGACCATCCTGATCAACATGGTGAAACCCCATCTCTACTAAAAATACTAAACATTAGCTGAGCAAGGTGGTGTATGCCTGTAATCCCGGCTACTCAGGAGGCTGAGGCAGGAGAATTGCTTGAACCCAGGAGGCGGAGATTGCGGGGAGCCGAGATCGCGCCATTGCACTCCAGCCTGGGTAACAAGAGCGAAATTCCATCTCAAAAAAAAAAAAAAGCTTGGTAGAATATCAAGGCCATCTAAAATGGTCAATAGTTGTTAGTGATTATTATTCAGCGTCTCACATTTCTTCTTTGAAAAACCAACTTGTTGAAGAAAAAGGAGCCCATCAAATTTTGGGGGACACAGTCTCCGTGCGGTATGACTTAAACAGTTAAGGCTGGGTCTACAAGACTTTTTTTTTTTTTTTTGAGACAGAGTCTCACTCTGGAGAGCAGTGGCGCGATCTTGGCTCACTGCAACCTCCACTTCCCGCTTTCAAGCGATTCTCCTGCCTCAACCTCGCAAGCAGCTGGGACTACAGGTGCCCGCCACCACATCCAGCTAATTTTTGTTTTTTGGTTTTTTTTTTTTTTTTTTTTTTGAGACGGAGTTTCACTCGTTACCCAGGCTGGAGTGCAATGGCACGATCTTGGCTCACCGCAACCGCCGCCTCCTGGGTTCAAACAATTCTCCTGCCTCAGCCTCCCGAGTAGCTGGGACTACAGGCACACGCCACCATGCCCAGCTAATTTTTGTATTTTTAGTAGAGACGAGGTTTCACCATGTTGACCAGGATGGTCTCGATCTCTTGACCTCATGATCCACCCGCCTCGGCCTCCCAAAGTGCTGGGATTATAGGCGTGAGCCACCGCGCCTGGCCAATTTTTGTATTTTTAATAGAGACGGGGTGTTCACCACATTGACCACGCTGGTCTCGATCTCCTGACCTTGTGATCCGCCCACCGCGGACTCCCAAAATGCTGGGATTACAGGCGTGAGCCACTCGCGCCCGGCCAAGACATTCTTTAGAGACAAATTGAAACCTCCGTATTTTCCATCATTAAGGGCAATAATGAATAGCACAGATCTTAGAATATCACAGTGTAATGTGCACAAAGAGTGACCACTGCAAGCTTCATATTTGTATACCTCAGGATGCAGGGGTTCCCACCAATGTATAATCTGCAGTGATCTGGAATATGAGGTTTTGGGTGTTTTGGTGAATTAGGTAAGAGAAGAATATCCTTCCTACTGCTTCCTTAAGATTCCAGGGATTCTACTCCCTTTCTCATTCTTTGTGTCTCCAGTCCTACACAAATCCTGCATTTCTGAAATTTAACCCTTACCCCTTGGATCTTGGAACAGCAAAAATTTGACAACCAATTGTGACTCCACTATTTCCTAACCCAATTATCATGAAAAGTTACCTAACCTCCCCAAGATATAAGTTCTCTCTCTCATCCATATACTGAACATAATAACCAACGTAAGCAGGTTCTTTGAGGGTTAAACGAGACAATCCTCAAAGCATTCAGCAGGCATTGCCAGAGGAAAAGCGGTTAATGTTTTCACGACCACAGTTCTCCTAACCATTCAAACAACTTGTAAGTGGAGTCGAGGAGCTGTTTCACGTTGTAAACGCGGCCGTGTGAGGCAACAGAGTCTGAAGGAGACTGGGCTGAAGCCCAGGGCGGGAGAACCAAGACTGCGGCGGCACTGACGGCGGCCAGTGTGCCTCGGCTTGCCATCAGGAATCGTTACCTTTGCTAAGCTCGGAGGGTTTCACCTCCAGGAGTTCCTCAGCAGTCTGGAAACCCGCAGACACCAACTTCACCCGCACCGCTGGAGACAGCGGGAAACTCAGCAAATCCCGCTGCATTTCAAAGCGGAACGTCTTCTCGCGCAGTTGCACAGGCTCAGCGGCTAACCGCGGAGCAGGCAAGCTCCGCACACCCTCGCCGGGCGTACGGCGTGACGTCAGACGTAAAGAGGAAGGGGCTGGCCACGCGGTCGTGAGCCTTGCTCCTCTGCGCAGGCTTGTATATTTTCATACTTAGGCACCGTTCCGTTATAATTCCCCAAAATCCCATTTAGAGATTCCTCAGGCCGGGCGCGGTGGCTCAGCTGTAATTCCAGCACTTTGGGAGGCCAACGCGGGTGTTTCACGAGGTCAGAAGACCGAGACCATCTTGGCCAACATGGTGAAACCTTGTCTCTAGTAAAATACAAAAAACTAGCCTGGTGTGGTGGCGCACGCCTGTAGTCCCAGCTATTCGGGAGGCTGAGGCAGAGGAATCGCTTGAACCCGGGAGGCACAGGCTGAAGTGAGCGGAGATCGCGCCACTGCATTCCAGCCTGGCAACAGAACAAGACTATGTCTCAAAAATAATAATAATAAATAAATAAAAAGATTCTCTATCAAATGTACACCCTGACTGTAAAACAATGGACGGAGACCCTAAGATAGAGAGCAAGGCCCAGTGGGTTTTCCACACCACATTTCCTTGCCTCCACTGTGGCCTGTTAGGTGAAGCCGCAGTCATTAATGGGAATGATCTCGAGTGGGAGCATTAAAAGTAACGAGCACACACTGGCCAGTCACCATTTTTTTGGTGTGAAAAGCTCAGGGAACAATCATAGCAGGATTAATCTGTGTGCTCATTGTAGAGTTGCAGTCTCTTGGCTCTTCCCGCTGACCGTCCCCCTTTCCTGACCCCCTCGCTTTTCCCGCCCTCGCAAGGGATTGTGGGCCAACCCCCAACTGCCGCTGGGAGAGACCTGTCCTCATTCCCCGCACCCTCCAACGCCTTTCTGTGAGTCGAGTCTGGAGCATGGAGGGTTCTGAGACCGTTATTTCTTCATGGCCTGCCTAGCTTAAGAAGTAGCTGGAAAAGTAAGCAACTAATGCTTCCATTTTTGGGTCTGGGGTCCTGAGAGGGAGGAGTGGGGCTACACAAGAGCTCCTTTTGTGGTACAGAGTTGGGAAGGGGCCTTCAAGCCATGGTAGTGACCGCTTCTAAATTAATGAATTTTGGGGAGAAAGGGAAGCAGTTTAGAAGGTGGTTTATGAGATCTTTCCTCACCTAGGTGAGTGTGACTTATTTAAGGGGGGGTAACTTATTCCCTACCTATTGGCGATGATTCTTTGTCTTGACTTTTCTTTCCAGCTTAGAAGAACTCCCTAAATATTGCAAATCAGAACCCTCTGCATACTTAGATCTAAAAAAAGGAAAAAAGGTATGTTGAGCACTTTAGCAAATCCCACACATTTCAGATGGCCATAGTTATGCCAGAAGGAAGATAAGGACATAGAGGCTCAGCATGTAGTTTAATATCAATTCTGATCAAAGAAAAAAGGCTGGCCGGGTGCAGTGGCTCACACCTGTAATCCCAGCACTTTAGGAGTCTGAGATCGGGGGATCACTTGAGGTCAGGAGTTTAAGACCAGCCTGACCAACATAGTGAAACCCCATCTCTATTAAAAATACAAAAATTAGCTGGGTGTGGTGGTGCATGCCTGTAATCTCAACTACTCAGGAGGCTGAGGCAGGAGAATTGCTTGAACCTGGGAGGCGGAGGTTGCAGTGAGCTGAGATCACACCACTGCACTCCAGCCTGGGCGACAAAGCAGGACATGTTTTTGGCCCCTATTTTTCCTCGTTAGCTTCTTCCTTTTTCTCTCTCCTATTTGCTCCTTATACTCCTGCTACTTTGGCTTTTTCTTAGTTCCTTGTGTGTTCCAGGCTTCTTCCCTCAACAAAGTGTTTGCATATGTCTATAATATTACCTCTCCTTTCTTCACCCAATTTACTATTTATTTGTCCAATCTGAAATTCTTTTATTTTTGACACAGAGTCTCACTCTGTCATCCAGGCTGGAGCACAATGGTGCGATCTCGGCTCACTGCAGCCCCTGCCTCCTAGGTTGAAGCAATTCTCCTGCTTCAGCCTCCCGAGTAGTTGGGGTTACAGGTGCCCACCACCATGACCCGATGATTTTGTATTTTTAATAGAGGTGGGGTTTCACTATGTTGGTCAGGCTGGCCTCAAACTCCTTACCTCAGGTGATCCACCTGCCTCTGCCTCTCAAAGTGCTGGGATTATAGGTGTGAGCCACCATGCCTGGCCTCTCAATTTTTTCTAATCAAAGAAATGTGGCTCTTCTCAAAGAATATTAAGGTATGCAGGGCTTCTGTGAGGATTATAACAGTAGCATTTTTCATAACTTGCTTGGAGTTACAAGACAGTAGAGGACAGACATCTTTTTGCCTAAGGCTGACTCCCTTGAACAAATATTTTGATAACTAGGCCAATAATTCTGGTGTAATATTGAAACTGGGACTTGTGAAGATTTATGAGCCACTTAAGATTCTGTGGGCTGGGCGGCCGGGTGTGTTGGCTCACACCTGTAATCCTAGCACTTTGGGAGGCTGAGGTGGGTGGATCATGTGAGGTCAGGAGTTGGAGACCAACCAGGCCAACATGGCGAAAACCCATCTCTACCGAAAATACAAAAATTAGCTGTGCGTGGTGACATGTGCCTGTAATTCCAGCTACTTGGGAGGCTGAAGCAGGAGAATCCCTTGAACCTGAGGCAGAGGTTGCAGTGAGCTGAGATCACGCCACTGTACTCCAGCCCGGATGACAGATCCAGACTGTCTCAAAAAAAAAAAAAAAAAAAAAAAAAGACTCTCTGGGCTGGCATGGTGGCTCCATGCTTGTAATCCTAACGTTTTGGGAGGTGGAGATGGGCCGATTGCTTGAGCCCAGAAGTTTAAGCCCAGCCTGGGCAACATGGTGAAACTCTCTCTCTCTACAAAAAATACAAAAATTAGCCAGACATGGTGGTGCATGCCTGTAATCCCAGATACACAGGAGGCTCAGGTGGGAGAATTGCTTGACCCTGGGAGGCCAAGGCCGCAGTGAGTTGTGATGGTACCACTGCACTCTAGCCTGAAGAAGGCACTGCTAGTCACATATCTTCTGAAATGGACATTTTGGTTGTATTTGGTGGTAATAGCAGTATAGTTCACATACATCACCTTTTCTCTTACTTGAGTTGTTCCACCAGATTTCTTTTTTCTTTTCTTTTCTTTTCTTTTTTTTTTTTTTGAGACAGAGTTTCCTGCTGTCACCCAAGATGGAGTGCAATCACACGACCTCAGCTCACTGTAACCCCTGCCTCCAGGGCTCAAGCGATTCTTGTGCCGCAGCCTCCCAAGTAGCTGGGATTGCAGGCATGTGCCACCACATATTTTTGTATTTTTAGTAGAGACAGGCTTTCACCATGTTTGCCAGGGTGGTCTCGAACTCCTGGCCTCAAATGATCCACCTGACTTGGCCTCCCAAAATACTGAGATTATAGGTATGAGCTACTGCGTCCAGCCCTCCAACCAGATTTCCAAGTACGTTTTATTTCACAAAACAAAATATTGGTAATTCATAGATCATACATATACATATGTGTGTACATATATATTACATAAACTTCTTTGAAAAGGCAAGTATGTAAAAATCAAACTGATAAACTGTCAAAGCATCAGACTTGAGAACAAGTTGTCTGCTTGCATCGCAGAATCTCCTACCTCCTTGTCCCAATATTCTTTTTGCCCCATTTAAGACACCTCTATGTTCTCAGTTGTTGCTTAACAAGATTTTTATTTTTATTTAATTATTATTTATTATTATTTTTTTGAGACAGAGTTTCGCTCTTTTCATCCAGGCTGGAGTGCAGTGGCACGATCTCAGCTTACTACAGCCTCCACCTCCAGTGATTCTCCTGTCTCGGCCTCTCAAGCAGCTGGGATTACAGGTGCCTACCACCACACCCGGCTAATGTTTTGTATTTTTAGTAGAGATGGGTTTTTGCCATGTTGGCCAGGCTTATCTCAAACTAACCTCAGGTGCTCTGCCCACCATAGCCTCCCAAAGTGCTGGGATAACAGGTGTAAGCCACTGTGCCCAGCCCAAGATTTTAAAACAGCTGTTTTTAAAAGAGCATTATTTCTTCCTGTTGTAAAGATAGAAAACTGTGAGCTTGAAGTCAGTAACAAGGAAAAAAAGTTATAAAACTCTGGCTAATATATTTTGGCAGAGGAGAAGAGTCCTTCTGTAAGATAAAAGATGTGGGAAATTAGGGTGGTTCTAGTGTGATCTTGGAAAGACAATTGAAGAACACTGTTAAACTCTGTAACTCCAATTCTAATTTGTTTTTTGGTTTTTTTTTTTGGTTTCAGGGGAGGTTTCTTGAGGCGGAGACTCGCTCTGTCACCCAGGCTAGAGTGCAGTGGCATAATCTCGGTTTACTGCAACCTCCACCTCCTAGGTTCAGAAGATTTTCCTGCCTCTGCCTCCCTAGTAGCTAGGATTACAGGCATCTGCCACCACGCCTGGCTAATTTATATATTTTTATTAGAGATGGGTTTCACCATGTTGGCCAGACTGTTGTCAAATTCCTGTCCTCAAGTGATCTGCCTGCTTTGGCCTCCCAAAGTGCTAGGATTAGAGGCAGGAGCCACAACGTCCGCGTGCTTCATTCAAAATTAGAATTGGTGTTATGCAATTGTTCTTTCAAGTAAGAGTGATCATTGCTGCATATTTGAAAGAGAGCATTTTGTATATAAGCTTGACACTTCTGACTGATAACCTGTACAGAGATTGGATTTTTCAGATGTGTAGACTGGATTTTCAAAAATAATTTTACCAAATTTCATGTTTTCAAACTTATTCAGATTACATGTACAGCAGCTTGTTTAACTGCTCAAGAAATTGGTGTGCACCTGCTTTTGCAGCTGCTGGGGAAGGTGAAGCAGGAGGATCCCCTGAGGCCAGAAGTTCGATAACTGCCGCACCCCAGCCTGGGCAACAAAGCAGAATCTTGTTGGAGCGGGTAAGAGGGGATGAAAAGAAAAAAGACACCGTAGTGACATCATTAGCTCAAAACCTTGAAAGGCAGGAGCTGATTTATGTTATTTACCTTTTAATCTGTAGGGTGTCTTTAAGTTTTATTTCAGTTGTGTCACCAAGCATACTGGGAAAGGACATGCTGAATGATATCACCAGAAAGTGTGTGGAGTATGTAGATAAGCGCGGTGACTGCTGGTTATTCATACCTTAGGTTTATATTTTCTAAGATTTTGAATAGCCAGATATTAAAAATTTTGCACTGGGTTATTGTAGTTTGAAAAAATTTTTATTCCAGAAATTAGGGGTTCTACTGGTCACATCAGAAAAATGACCCTATATTTAGAGTGGTTTGAATCTAAGGGTAAGTTCTCAGGCATTCTCAATAGCTCAGGCTTAATTAACAGTAGTAATATGAAAATCAAGAAAGTTCTTTTTCTTGGGTTAAGTTTGTCAGTTGTACTCTAAGTATGGGGGGTGTGGCTGAATAATTTGTGATAGAGGTAGGATTGTGATTGCTCTCTACCCTGGCCTGGCTTCGTTGTAGAAGGTTTCACTGGGTTGTGGTGGCTTGTACTTGTGATTTTGGTACCCATGTGAAATCAGCAGTTTGAAACCTGCTTGAGCCCGTCTCTACTAGAAATACAGCAATTGGGTGGGTATGGTGCACTCCAGCCTGGGTGACAGAGCAAGAAAAGACATTGCATCTTGTGTCTTCCACCACAATCTCCTGTTTTGGAGTATCCAGAGGTTTATATTTCTGAACAGTCATTTTCTCCTTTGCACATATTTCTGGTCCTACCCCACTTCACTTGTTGGTTGGTGCTATAATTGGGTAGTACAATGATTTGCTGTTACAATCAGAAGTCTTCAGTTAAATTTCTCAGGAGGCTCTAAAGGAATGCTAACTCTCACACTTTCCTTGCTTGTAGCCCTTTCATTTTCCAAGCTAGCAATTTAGCATCTTCTGACTTTTCTTCTGTCTTTGTATCTTTTTATGGACCTCCAGAGTCCTCTTTTTTTTTGGAGATGGAGTTTTGCTCTTGTAGCCCGAGTTTTGCTCTTGTAGCCCACACTGGAGTGCAATGGCGCTGTTGGCTCACTGCAACCTCAGCCTCACAGGTTCAAGGGATTCTTCTGCCTCAGCCTTCTGAGTAGCTGGGTTTATAGACATGCACTGCCACGCCTGGCTAATTTTTGTATTTTAGTAGAGATGGGGTTTCACCATGTTGGCTAGAGTGGTCTCGCACTCCTGACCTCAGGTGATCCACCGGCCACAGCCTCCAAAAGTGCTGAGATTACAGGTGTGAGCCACCGTACCCGGCTCCAGTGTCCTTCATTTTAAGGACCCTGTGATTACATAAGTTTATCTGGATAAGCTTTTCATCTTAAATCAATCACATCTAAAAACTTCCTTTTATAATGGAAAGTGTTACAAGTTCCAGGAATTAAGATGAGGACATTTTTGGTGGACCATTATTCTGCCTTATTCTACCACCACCACTACAAAAGCCTCAGATTTGTCAGGAGCTTTTTTTTTGAGATGGAGATTCCCTCTTGTTGCCCAGGCTGGAGTGCAATGACTCGATCTTGGCTGACTGCAACCTCCACCTCCTGGGTTGAAGTGATTCTCCTGCCTTGGCCTCCCGAGCAGCTGGGATTACAGACATGCGCCACCATCCTAGGCTAATTTTTGTATTTTTAGTAGAGACGGGGTTTTAACATGTTGGTTAGGCTGGTCTGAAACTCCTGACCTCAAGCGATCTGCCACCTTGGCCTACCAAAGTGCTGGGATTACAGGCATGGGCCACTGTGCCAGGCCTTTGCAGTGTTCACACCAAGGGCTTGAGACAGCTAGCGTGACTCCCCCCATCTTGGCTGCTGGACCTGTCTGCTCTCCCTCCGCTCTCGAGGGCTGTCGAGTCAAGGTAAAAATGGCTAGGCCACTGAGGCAAAAAACAGAATGCAGAGTAAGGGCCTGTGGTTTATGAGGACATTGTGCTGACTGCTTCATATCCCCTTTAGTCTCTGTGTAAGCAATAGGCTTGTTGCAATTGAGATGCCTGAGAGGGGCAAAAGACCCCTGCCCATATTTTCTCAGGAGCTGAGCCTTTGCTCTACCTCCTAATGAAAAGCATAGTTAACAAGCCACCTTAAGGGCACCATTGTTTGCTTGCACTGTGTATCTTTGAAAAACATATATTAACTCTTAAACTGCTTTGTAAGCTATTATCACAAGCCCCCTCAAAACTGCTTTGTGAGCTGTTATCACAGGCCCCTGATAACTATTTTTGCATGATTTCTGTTCCCTTTTCTGTTTGCCCCCTTTTCTGCTGAGGTAAAGTAAATGCTGAGGTAAAGTAAATGCTGAGCTAAAGTGAATGTAACATGAAAAAAGGTATAAAAGCTGTCACCTACAGAAATAAAGTTGCTGCTTGACTGCAAGTCATTCAGACCTCCAGACTCCACTTTCCTATCTTCTTTCACTTCCGCGCGCTCTCTCCCTCAGGTTGAACGAGACATCTACGTTGGTGGTCTCGGGGACTCCCGCAGGTTGGTAGCCCCCTGGCAGACGTGCCGGACCCCGACAGGCCTTTTTAAAAAATTTTTTGAGATGGAGTATCACTTTGTCACCCAGAGTGATAATGGCACAATCTTGGCTCACTGCTAGAGTGTAATGGCACGATCTTGGCTCCCTGCAAACTCCGCCTCATGGATTCAAGTAATTCTCTAATTTCAGCCTTCAGAGTAGTTGGGATTACAGGGGCCTGTCATCACACCCAGCTAATCTTTATATTTTTAGTAGAGACAGGGTTTCACCATGTTGGCCGGGATGGTCTCAAACTCCTGACCTCAAGTGATTTGCCCACCTGGATCTTTTAAAGTGCTCGATTACAGGCGTGAGCCACTGCACCCAGCCACTGTTTCTTTAGTATGCTTCTTTTCCCACTGTCATTATCTATTTCAGACTTCCATCCCTAACTTTGCATAAACTCTTAACAGATGACTTTACCTCCAACTTTACAGAAGAAATAGAAGCCATCAGATGGGAATGAACTCAGCTGCCTGCCACCAAACAAAACTGCTGACACGGCCACATCTACCTGTGTAGAACAGAACAACATAGTTGTAGGTGAAGCAGTCTGCCCTACACTAGAGATGGAACTATCTACACCTATTGTTTTCACTTTCCTTCCTGTTATACTGAAGAAGGTATCCTTCCTATCCTTGGCCAATATCATCTTTCATCCACTCAGTTATCCTTCCCAGGTTATCATTTCTCTTTTCAGTAGCTTCAAACTACCCCTCATTTCTTTTGAGACAGCGTTTCACCATGTTGCCCAGGCTGGACTCAAACTCCTGGGCTCAAGTGATCCTCCCACTTCAGCCTCCCACATAGCTGAGACTACAGGCTTTCATTATTGAGCCTGGCTTCTTGTCTTTTCATCAGCATTAACATACGTGGATTTTCCTATCTTTAAAAAGTGTTTCCTGAATCTCACCTCCTTTTCCAGCTACTGTCTCATCCCTCTCCTCCCACTGCAACAAGAGTTCTTGAGAGAGTTGTCTACACCTGCTATCTTTACTGCCTCATCTCCCACTCCTCAGCCCATTAGAATCTGAATTTGACTCCTTCCATTCTCTAGCAGTCATTAAGATCATAGTGACTCAGGGCCAAGCAGTGGCTCACACACGTAATCTGAGCACTTTGGGAGACCAAGGCAGGTGAATCACCTGAGGTCAGGAGTTTGAGATCAGCCTGGCCAACATGGCAAAAACCCTGTTTCTACCAAATAGAAAAAAAATGAGCTGGGCATGATAGTGCATGCCTGTAATCCCAGCTACTCGGAAGGCTGAGGGAGGAGGATTACTTGAACCCAGGAGCTGAAGGTTGCAGTGAACTGAGATCCTGCCACTACACTCCAGCCTGGGCAACAGAGCAAGATGCTGTCTCTAAAAAAAAAAAAATCAGCTACTCATACTCCTAAATCTGATGGATACTTTGGCCTTCTTGTCATTTCCTCTTAGTCTGTTCCCTTGGGTTTCCTGATGTCACACTCTGTTTTTCCTTCTATCTCTCTGATTACTCCACCTCAGGCTCCTTTGGCAGTTCCACCTCTATCTTTTCTCACTCCAAGTTTTTCTCCTAAGAGACCTTGTTCACTACCATGGCTTCAGTTAGCAGCTATATATACACTGGCAGCTCCCAGATTTGCATTGTAGTCTAGGACCAGATTTCTCTTCTTAGCTCCTATTACTACCCATATATTTGATGTCTCCACTTGGACTGAATTCTTAGTCTTAACTTTCTCTACCTCCAGCATTCCCCTTCCAGAGTATTGCTGTCCAGTCAGCCACTCAAACCAGAAACCCAGGAGTCATCCTTGACTCTCCTCCCATTCCTTTACTCCTTACATAAAAAAATCAATCAGGCCAGGTACCTTAGCTCATATCTGTAGCCCTAGCACTTTGAGAGGCTGAGGTGGGAGGATTGCTTGAAGCCAGGAGTTTGAGATCAGCCTGTTCAACATAGCAAGACCCTGTTTCTATAAAATATTTAAAAACTAGCCAGGTATGGTAGCATTTGCCTGTAGTCCTAGCTACTTGAGAGGCTGAGACAAGAGAATTTCTTGACCCCAGGAGTTCATTGCAGTGAGCCATGATCGTGCTACTATACTCTAGCCTGGGCAGCAGAGCAAGATACTGTCTAAAAAATAATAATAATTGGCAAGGCACAGTGGTGCACACCTATAGTCCCAGCTCCTCAAAAGGTCTCTAAAATCTATGTCCTTTATACCCACTTCTTTCCATTTCTATTGCTACTGCAGTCATGCAGACTACAATTAATTCCTCCTTGGACCATTTGCAACAGCCTCCTGAAGTGGCTTCTTCCATCCAGTCTCACACTCAACAGATCTTTTTTGAATGACTCCTATGTTCCATGCACTACTTTAGGTGCTGGGGTAATACTGAACAAAGCAGAGT